AAAAACTTTACTCAGCCCAATTTATATGGGAAGTGATATCCAACTGCTTATCAAAATGAAATAATACATGCAGAGTGCTGCCAGAGTAGATATAACTTGCCAAATATAATCTTTTTTAAACAAATATAACCTTCTTGGCTTGTTTGACCACAAACTCAAACTATTTCTCTCTAAGAAAAACAAATTAGGACCCCCAAATTTATTTGCATGAATGTGTGGAATTTGTGTGCACCTAAATGTTTAGCTACCCTGATCCCACCATAAGCTCCAAAACAGTAATAATTTTTGGTATTTAAGACTCAAATGAATTTTGTTAACCATATTTTATTTAGGAGGATTAGTATGCCTTACCAGAAACATCCCAAAAAAGAAATATATCATATATCAAAAAGAGGAGTGAACAAAGCAAATTCAGATTTTGAAATTTATAAAGACTGTAAGACAAATTTGAAAAACCTAGCTGACAGATTTTGATTATTTGGCTTGATAAAATAGAACAAACAAATAAGCAATTGAAAAAATTCTCTCTTACCATTCAGGTCATTGATTGCATTTTGAGCATCCTGAAAAACAAAACATAAATGTATATTATTAGATGAGCAGTGGGCAAATTTGATCACATTTGTTTTTCTTTTCTTTTTTTCTATTTCTTTTCATCTTATCAAGGGAGGAGGCAAGCCAACCTGCTGATTGCGATAGGAAACAAAACCAAAGCCCCTTGAACGGCCAGTTTTCTGGTCCCACATCACCCTTGCATCTCTGTAAAATAAAATTATAACGACGAATGTAGCAGATATAAGTTTCAAACAAAAAATAAAATAAAATAAAATACTCGGTCCAAACCCCAAATACTGAAAAGTGGGCTTACGAGCAACTAGGATACACAGAAAAGCAAGCATATAAGGTAGCATCAGTAACCTCCGGGCTAAGATCGCCAACAAATACATTGAAATGAGCTGCATATTCACATATCCACCAACTGTTAAAAGGGAACAAATGTACACGAAAAGTAGAATAGTCTATAAAATTTTCACATACTCGATGTGTCCTCTCGTTGTGCACTAGTATATGCCCAGTTCACTTTTATAGGCTGCCCAAACCTGGAAAGTTTATATTAGACAGAAAACATACAATACCCGACAAAACCATAAGACGCCTTCCATTCAAATATTGTACTCACAGATGCCTTCCATTCAGTGAGACAATAGCAAGTGCAGCTGAACGACGATCATAGTAGTCAACAAAACCATAAGATGACTGCATCAAAGCAAAAAAGATAAAAAAAAAAAAAAAAAAAAAAAAAAAAAAAAAAAAAAAAAAAATGATTAAGTAGTTCCAATTTTTTAGTTTTGTTTTCAGAAAAGATAAAAACAATAATCCACAGGTATAACAAACTTCAGAACAAGTAAGGAGAATGGACAGGTGCTAAATAACCCATACCTTGTCTTTACGAATGAGCTTGCAACCTTCCAGTGGACCAGTGCTAGAGAAGACCTCTTGAAGAAGAGGTTGTGTAACTTGAGGGTGGACATTGCCAACATATCTGCAATGCATGAGAACGTTTTCAAAAGACTGATATTTATAAATTGATTATCATCCTATATCCGTATAATCAACTCAAAAGGAAAGTTTCAAGAATTAATAGCTCATGAACAATCAGTAATATAAATTTCTCATTGAACATAATGCTTTTCCGTGAAGATGGAAGATTTGAAGTAATACAAAAATATATTTGAAAAGAATGATGGAGCACATAGCAAAGAAGAAGCTCAAAAGCAACTCACACACTGCGGCAAGTACTAGGGTCGAAGCCAGGAGGCAAATTTCCACTTAAGATAGGCTCTATCTGCAAATTTAATGATAATTTAGTAAGCATTGATGTTTGAAGACAATATACAAAACAACTGGAGAAAGGCCACAGAGATAAAATGAAGAAGATAGATTCCAGGAATAAAATCACCTAACTCCCACCTCATTTCCTTTTAAATTTTACATCCCTGGTTTATAAAAAATAGTAAGAAAACTAGGTCATCAACTTTAGCACAAGAGAATCTCAAAAAATCAATTGCGTCTTGAACTGTCCCACACAAATAACAGCCACCCAACCAATTCAAGGAAATTGCTTAACGTGTCAACCATTGAGAAAATTTACTGTTTAAAATACAGGAAGTGGGCCCATAGAATTCACACGGTGAGTAATTAATATGAGTCTCAACAGAATTTTTCTAGCTTGGATGTTAAATTTCTCCCACAAGTCATTACTACATGCTATGCAACGAGATAAAACATCAAACCCGACGTCCAATTAACAATAAAGCATAAACCAAAATTAAGGCATCTGAACCTAGGCATCAAATTACGAACATTATCTCATGATATCATCTAATATAATTATTTTGAAGGTTGGTGAAGAAGGTCAAAATTTAGTCGTCTATATCAATAATGTCATCTTGAAGCATCTCGCCTGAATAAATACCAATAAAGCCACCACTAACAACAAAAGTAACATAGCCAAACAATCTTCCTCATTTCAAATAAAGATATATGCATATGTAAAAAATTATGACGTAAATGACAATGACCTTACAGGTTTTATGCCGAGAAATAGCATAACATACGAAACTATGATGAAGAAAGCAAATATTATAGGTCGGACTCTTGTCAAAAACAGAGGTTGGAAAAAATCACTCAAGCACACAACTGATCAAAGCCGGCACAAAACAAATTAACACACCAGTACAAGGAAAAGAAGATTCCAGTATGGCGCATTAACTTTTATTATTTTTTAGTAATTTGGAAAACAACAAATAAAGCATTAACAGCGCAAATGAATTTATGAAATTTGTGGTTTTCGCCGAGATACCAACCAAAGCACAGCCGCTCAAGGGCTTATGTTCACTGCCTGTATCAGAGTTGGCAATGAATTAAACTGCATTCGATTTGTCAACAAATGTCCATCAAACTTGCCAATAATTTTGTTGTTTTTGACATAGCTAATTAGTTTATGTTCACAATTTCCACAAATTTTTTGTATAATTTCAATGGAAAACAAAATGGAATAACCGAGACCAGAACAATAAAAAACCCAACAAAGCCCAAGACTCCAAAGAGCCATAAAAAGAAAAGCAAAGCAAAATTTCCGAAAGAATAAAAAACCAGATAAAGCAACAACATCTCAAGAAGTTACACTACCGAGAAAGCAACACTTCGGAAAATTTTTTAACACTTCAAGGGGGGCAAAATATCAATAAAAGGCAACTTGTTTACTGTACGAGGTTCTAACCAAAGCCCTGGGGCACAATTTCACTGCCTATAAACTGCATTCGACTCATCAACAAATTTCTATCAAGCTCACCAATAATTTAGTTACATTTGTTACAGTTAATTGGTTTAAGTTCATAATTTCCATATTTTTCTTAATATTTTCAAAGGAAAACAGGGTGGACTAAACAGAGACCAAGAACAAAAAAAAGACCCACAAAGCGCAAAACTCAAAAGGGCTAACATATAAAGAAAGTAAAGCAAAATTCTCCCCATAAAATAAGAAAAGAAAAAATAAGATAAAGTAACAACGTCTCCAGAAGCAACACAATCGAGAAAACCCACTTCGTAAATTTCCGAACAAATCAAGAAAAAAAAAATCATAAAAATAACCTGTGGAGCTGCGAGGAGGCCTGGATGGTAAAGGGACTGTTGCATCAGTGCTTGCTGCTGCTTAAACCTCTGCTGCTCCATCTTCTTCCTTTTCCCCGTACAGAAAAAACTCAAAATTTGAAAATTGAAAATAAAAATCGATGCTTTCTGCCACAAAGCGAAAGAAAAATAAAGAAACAAAGAGAAAATCAAATTTATGAACAAACAATTGAAAAAAATAAAAGGAAAATAAAAGAAAAGAAACCCTCGAGAGAGGGAGAAAGAAAGAAACCGAGCGAGCAAAAGAGGGTATAGAGTGCTTGTGATGTGTTAAAGACTGAACGTACGCTCGCTGTTTTCATCATTTTTGTGGTGTGAGCTGAGGGAGGATCCAGTGTGTGTGCTTGTGTTGCTTTGGTATCGTGCACCCTATTACGCGGAGTATCGTCATTGGATATAATTTGTATCTGGACATTTTTTTTTGGCCAGCAAAAACTAGCCAGTAACTTAGACGGGTTGGCAGTTTTACCCACCTTCTTTCGATTTTGGCAATAATAGCCAAAACGTTTTAAAAAATCGGTCCTTCTACCCAAATCCGGCCAAACTCGTCGGAACTCCGCCTGAGGTCACAAAACTTGCCAGCGTGGACTACACGTGGACGAATTAATCCACCTCAGCTATACCGTCTATAAATACACCATCCACGTATTTTAGGCCAAATTGCAAAAACTAGCCAGTAACTTAGACGGGTTGGCAGTTTTACCCACCATCTTTCGATTTTGGCAATAGCAGCCCGAGCAACCATCATAGCAAACTCCAAACACGTGGATGAGGTGGATTAATTCGTCCACGTGTAGTCCACGCTGGCAAGTTTTGTGACCTCAGGCGGAGTTCCGACGAGTTTGGCCGGATTTGGGTAGAAGGACCGATTTTTTAAAACGTTTTGGCTATTATTGCCAAAATCAAAAGAAGGTGGGTAAAACTGCCAACCCGTCTAAGTTACTGGCTAGTTTTTGCAATTTGGCCTTTTTTTTTTTTAAAAAAAATGATAGACTTCATTAAAACACACAAATGTTATAAAACTAGAGAGAAAGAGAGAGAATTGAGAAAATGTATTCTCTTAGGTACGATTTTCATTATAACTGAAGGTCCTATTTATAGGAAACTTCTGATGGCACAACTCGTAATAATACAAATACATCGAGGGCAAAATAGTCATTCACATACATTATTTTATAATTTCATAACACTCCCCCTTGAATGACTATTTTCTAAATATATTTTAACTGATTTGAACAAAGCCCAATCTGCACATCTTCAAGTGTATCTTGTGGCCATCAGGTACCGTTGCTTCAGCACGTCAGGAAAACCCGGTAGGACAAAACCTGATCGTCTTGAAATCATAACATTGTTTCTTCAGGAAAACCCAGTGGGACAAAACCTGAGCATTGTGGAAGCACAACATAGCTCCCCCTCAAATAGATCATCTTTAGTGGAATATCCATGCGCTGCCTCGTTAAAACCTTGTCAAGAAAACCCAGTGGGAAAAAACTTGATCGAAGGAAAAAGAGTACAGCTACTCCAGTATCTCTTATCATCGCGAAGAATCATATCATTTATCCAGTAGTCCTCATCATACCATGAATATGCCTCGTTAAAACCTTATTAGGAAAAACCCAGTGGGACAAAATCCTAATGAAGGAAAAAGAGTACACTATTCATGTGAATACGCCATCCTTGTTGCCTCATTAAAAACATTGCTAGGAAAAACCCAATGGGACAAAACCTCAGCCAAGGGAAAAAGAGTACAACGCGTATTTCATATATTCACCATAATAATCTTTCTATAATTTGTATGAGTATCATATAAATTCGTTCAGATTTTCAGATACTGATGGTATTCATGACAATATGTTATATCATGCTTTGTGCAACGTTTATTCTTAAACTCATTCTCATCATCAATTGATTTCAATGGTGTTACTGCCAATAGTTCCCAATATTCACATTTCAGCTGATTTCATTCTCGTCAATATCATTTATATAGCGCTGTTCATTTGTTTGTGTCGACACTTATTCATTTCCATTATTCCCCGTAGTATATTGAGATATCTCATTATCAATTGATTTCAACAATAGTAAATATACCCTCTTTCATCACTTATTCGGGGAATTTCAATTTGCACAATACCAATGCTTCCAGCGTATTATTCCACTATCATATCATTTCATATA